GAAGTATGTCTGTAATCATAATCAATTAGTAAAGTGTTAGTGAATAAGCAAAAATATTGGTGCTTCAAGATGTAGGTAATCAAGGGTTGGTCAGCAGTAACTGTGCAGAAAACAAAAAAAGTAGAGAGAAAATATAAGAAAGAATAGTACAGATTAAAAAAGCAATTTAAAGTTGATAAAGTTAATAAAGCATTGATAAACATCAAAGGTAGAATTTTTGAAATAGGTTTGGTTTTTTTTGATGTTCTAGACGATGATTCAGTACGAATTTTGACATTTTTGAAACTGAATACACATAAAATTTTCCGTCTGTAAACAGTTTAAATAATACTTCCTTCCTGTTCTACCCATTCTTAGTATTAAAAATTATCATTCCATTGTCTATCCATCAACATTTGGCATCATTTAATTGGTGACTGTCTGCTTTAACCATTCAAGACTGTTGGTCATCAGCAAAAAGAAGTTTCAAGAACAGTATCCATCTGTACAGTCCGTGTATTTCATTTTAAGCGATTCTCTTAGCATTTAGGCATTTAAGGGTTTTGCAACATATCAGCTTGAAAATTTTTTGCCTTTTTAAAGAATGGGCAGAAAAGAAGAGTAGAATTAAAACACATTACTGCTATAAGTTTTTACCAATTTACAAATTCTGGATTTTGGAAATTCAGGTTTTTTGAAAATTAAAAATAAACTTTTAAGTATTATTTTTTTTTGTTTTCTTTTTTTGCTTTTCTTTTTTGAATTCGTTGTGGTTTGAAGTTTTTTTTCATAAAAGAAAATTCAGCATCATCAGGATATAGTATGTGAAGTAGTTGCTTATAGTTAAAATTTATCGTCATTCTTAATTGTAAAGGAAGAAATAGTTTACTAACATGCACTGAAGTTTTTTTTTATCTAGCTGTTCTTGTTTCATATGATATATGGTGTTGAAAATACTTTATGACAGTATTTGTAGGGTTGAAAAATGTTTTGACTGTTGCTCAAAGCAATTGAAATATGGTCTAAACTTAAGTGATTAAAAAAAGAAAACAACTGAAGCTGAATAACGATAATATTCATAAGAATAAGTTGATAGTCGTTCAATATTGCTCAGTATTCTCTATAAGAAATAACTTGTAAAATTTATTATTGATAACTAATAATAGAAACATTTTTAATAATTAGCCCAGGTTTTCTTCCTCTTTTTTTTTTTCTTTACTAATAATAGTAATTTAGAATATTAGCTGTATAGTTAAAATTTGAATACAATTTCATTTGCAAAATAATCTGATTTATAAAGATAATTAAGCAAAACTTTTAGCACTTCATGTCCGTAAGTCTTATGCCAAACAAAAATTGCATGATACATTATTTGTGGTATGTAGACAGTAGCTATTTTTAGATGTCAAAAAAATTTGTCTATACGTCATAAACGATTAACATCCATTATGCCTTTGTTAGACGCCAAAACCATCGAGTTTTTTTTAAGTGGTCAAAGTTTAATGGGTAAGAGAGATATTCGAAAAAAAAAAAAAACAAAAGAAGAAAATCCAGAATAATTACAACGATGACAGCCATATTTAATAAGATAAATGCTAACAACTGAATAGAAGTAGTAATAATTGCAAAAAAAAA